GGTGTTGGAAAGATGTTATGTTCTATCTTGAGGAAGTGTAAAGCAGGTGTGATGGTTAAGGACGTTCGTCACTGTGTTTGTTGATAGCGGACGAGAAAGGATTAACATGAACTTTTTATTTCATGGCATGGGTGGAACGGCTGACGACGCGCGGATACGCTACCATGTGCAGCGCCGTTTAGTCGGACGTCGCGGCCAACCCAGCAGTCAGGGTCGCAACTCCTGAGGTCCTGGATCAGGCCACGGCTCATGACGACCACACCCGGTAGGCCTCGCCCACGAACCTGCTCCCGGCCACTGCACCCAGGCAGGAGCCGTTCAGCAGGCCCCGTCCTTGCACCTTGTACCGGCCGGCGGACTCGACCCCGAGCGAACACGCCGGAGCTCGACCTAGCCGACACGTACGGGTCCCACGTCCGGCTCAGGAACGCTCCCAGGAACTCGTCCTCTCGAGCGGCGCACTGCTTCGTCTGCCTTCGAGGCCTCCACGCTCGAGCTCTCTTCTCCGCACGTTCCTTCTTGGCCAGGGCACCGCCAGGTACCCTCGGGTGCACCCTGCAGCTCATCAGCTCGTGGCCCACGTCCGAGTCTGGCCCGTCGCTCGGCACCGCTCGGCGATCCTAGATTCAGCCAGTCTCTCCCCTGGCATCTGAATCCTCGGCCACCCTGAATCCTCACCCGGCTCCGTGCTCCTCTGTGCGCACTCCCGCGTCTCGCCCGGCAGAACATCTCGCTCGTCCCTTGCCGAAGTGCGACGCTCTCGTGACACCGGCGCTTGATGGCATGGGTGCGGCCACGGAGCAGTCAACCCGCATCGGAGACGCGATGCTCCATGCGGGGCATGGCCAGCCCCTCCAGCGAAGAGCGTGCGCCGAGACGCGATGCTCGACGCAACCGTGACCATTAGCCAGGCCACGTTCATCGCTGTGTCGAACGGCTGACCGTGGAGACGCCTCGCCGAGATCCGCGATGCCCTCGGCAAGGAAGAGAACAGCAGGCCAGGCCGCGCCCCGAGATGCAGTACTCGTGCCGGTAACGCCGCCCCAGCTGGTAGTTGGACGGCAGTAGCGTGGACGGCCGCGTTCCCTGGCCGGAACCTGGATCGCCTGCGTCCGACGCCTCGGCCCGCTGTCTCCCGTCTGCCGCTGCTTCGGCTCGTCCCCAGCCACAAAGCCCACTGCCACGTGATGGTCGCCCGTGGCCCAATCGTGGCACGCCACCTCTATGGGCCACCACAGGTCGTCAGCTGATTCGCTGACACTCACGCGCACATTACACGCGCCTTGCCCCGCACTTCCGTCGTTGTCGTTTTCTTCACTCATCACAATAACCCCCCGCACAAGAAAGTTGTTTCAGTCAAACAACTTTTCTCACAACACACAGTGATGAGGAAGAACAGTGTAGTGGACTCACGACTCTCGAGCAGTGGTGGCGGAGATGCCTGGACCAGCGCGGCCTCGGGCCTCGTTTACGAGCTCTCTGGTCCCTCATTTCTTTTTCCTCAGCGCTCACCCATGCCAGCAAAGCCTCTCCACTCAGCCCCATCTCCTTCCCTAGCTCAACTAGCTTTCGTCGTCCATTTTCGTCCGCCACACACAAACAACGTGAGGCTCTCAGATGTAACGCGAGAGCTTAATCCTGGCAGGCTCGCCATTTGTCGTGATGGTTAAAGGAACGTTCGTCACTGTGTTTGCTTATAGCGGACGAGAAAGGATTAACATGAACTTTTTATTTCATGGCATGGGTGGAACGGCTGACGGCGCACGGATACGCTACCGTGTGCAGCGCCGTTGAGTCGGACGTCGCGGCCAACCCAGCAGTCAGGGTCGCAACTCCTGAGGTCCTGGATCAGGCCACGGCTCATGACGACCACACCCGGTAGGCCTCGCCCACGAACCTGCTCCCGGCCACTGCACCCAGGCAGGAGCCGTTCAGCAGGCCCCGTCCTTGCACCTTGTACCGGCCGGCGGACTCGACCCCGAGCGAACACGCCGGAGCTCGACCTAGCCGACACGTACGGGTCCCACGTCCGGCTCAGGAACGCTCCCAGGAACTCGTCCTCTCGAGCGGCGCACTGCTTCGTCTGCCTTCGAGGCCTCCACGCTCGAGCTCTCTTCTCCGCACGTTCCTTCTTGGCCAGGGCACCGCCAGGTACCCTCGGGTGCACCCTGCAGCTCATCAGCTCGTGGCCCACGTCCGAGTCTGGCCCGTCGCTCGGCACCGCTCGGCGATCCTAGATTCAGCCAGTCTCTCCCCTGGCATCTGAATCCTCGGCCACCCTGAATCCTCACCCGGCTCCGTGCTCCTCTGTGCGCACTCCCGCGTCTCGCCCGGCAGAACATCTCACTCGTCCCTTGCCGAAGTGCGACGCTCTCGTGACACCGGCGCTTGATGGCATGGGTGCGGCCACGGAGCAGTCAACCCGCATCGGAGACGCGATGCTCCATGCGGGGCATGGCCAGCCCGTCCAGCGAAGAGCGTGCGCCGAGACGCGATGCTCGACGCAACCGTGACCATTAGCCAGGCCACGTTCATCGCTGTGTCGAACGGCTGACCGTGGAGACGCCTCGCCGAGATCCGCGATGCCCTCGGCAAGGAAGAGAACAGCAGGCCAGGCCGCGCCCCGAGATGCAGTACTCGTGCCGGTAACGCCGCCCCAGCTGGTAGTTGGACGGCAGTAGCGTGGACGGCCGCGTTCCCTGGCCGGAACCTGGATCGCCTGCGTCCGACGCCTCGGCCCGCTGTCTCCCGTCTGCCGCTGCTTCGGCTCGTCCCCAGCCACAAAGCCCACTGCCACGTGATGGTCGCCCGTGGCCCAATCGTGGCACGCCACCTCTATGGGCCACCACAGGTCGTCAGCTGATTCGCTGACACTCACGCGCACATTACACGCGCCTTGCCCCGCACTTCCGTCGTTGTCGTTTTCTTCACTCATCACAGCAGGGTTCTAGCAGTCCTCATGCAAAGAATGTGAGCCGATGTGACACGCCTCCACTCCCGTCGTGCGCCCGTAGCGTTCTTCGGTGCATCGGTGGTAGCGGTGTCCACACTCTTACTGTGCATGATTGCGTGTCGCGTTTCGTGCTGGTCTAGGAAGTCACCCACAAAAATGTCGCTTCCCTCCTTCTCCCTCGCCTCGCAAGGCCGACGCAGGCAACATCTGCTTGAAAATAAAATCGCAGCATATCCACGGAATGATTATGATGAGTGGGGCGAAGTGTTCATCAGTCCGTCCTTGTGTCCGTTCACCCGTGCTTCTGTTCATTCGTTCGTTCTTCCTTCCATACGTCCGATAGTGCGTCTGTCCATGCGACCGTCCGTCTGTTCGTGGGTCCGTGCATGCATCCACTTGGGCGTCCTTGCCTTTGGCCATCCGTCCTATCCATCCGTCCGTGCTATCGTTCGTTCATTCGTCCGTCCGAGTGTCCATCTGTCTGTCTGTCTGTCTGTCTGTCTTTCTGTCTGTCTGTTTTTCCGTCTGTCCGTCATGTGCCTGAAAATCCGTCTTTCTGCACGTCTGTCTATCCTTCCTTCTGTCCGTCCATATAATGAACACTCCGAGTACCGTGATTTCGCATCTTTTCATCATATATTAATCATGTACAAATATCGCCATCCAGCGGACATTCCAAGGACTAAACTAAAGGTCACTACTTACTACTACTACTACTACCACTACTACTACTACTACTACTACTACTATTACTACTACTACTACTACTACTACTACTACATCGAGACTGTTCGAGCTGCACAACTATTCACTGGCCACCCCTATATGTGGGCACTAGATCGCGCGTTAGGAATACAGTGAAGAACGTCTTTGGTTTCGCTTGACGTTGAAGGCAACTCTTCTTCTTCATTCAATAAATAGAAACAATACAGACGAAATAACAAGCATTCTCAGACCATATCCGTTTACCCAAACATTCACTCGATACATCTACTGCTATGAGACGCAGTTACTCGAGCTCCCCCTGTGGAAAAATGCGGGCGGCATTTTTTTTAATATGAGTGGCAAGGCTCGCAATTCATTGCACTCATATAGCTGTGGCTTTGTACATATTCACATACCGTAGCCAATTTATGTGTGTATATATCGTCATCGTACTGTGAAAATTTTACATCATCATTATCATCATACCTTCAGGATGAGCCACATTTTTTTCCTCCCGACCATGGCAGCCGCATTTTTGACAGAGGTGAAAATGCTTTAGACCTGTGTGCTTAACTATTAAGGAAGGAAAATAGGAGGAAAAGAACGGCAGGGAGGTTTACCAGCCTATAGGCAGCCGGTTTGCTACCCTGCGCATGGAAGGGGGAGAGATGAAAGATAGAAAGTAGAGAGGGAAGAGAGATCAACAAAGCACATTCGGCAGCACAAGTGCGTATGCTCAGTCATAGTCCAGTCTTGTCTTTCGTGGCGTGTGACATTGCTGTTACAGCCGCTTGTTCAAGTCCGTGTCGCGTAGGAATTTCAGCATGTGCTTTTGTTGCCTTCTGTTGCACTGTCTTCTCTCGGACACTTGACAGAATAGGGTCCACAGACATGTGGCTGTTGTTGATGCACGCAAAACGGACGCCAGTGACTGTCTCTGGATGTCATATGCGTAACTATGGCTGCATGTTAAAGAACCCCAGGGGGTCGAAAATTCCGAAGCCCTACACTGCTGTGTGTCTCATAAATATATTTGGCTTTGGGTCGTTAAACTCTATTCGTGTCGCGTAGGAATTTCAACAGTGCTTTTGTCGCCTTCTGTTGCAATGTCTTCTCTCGGGCACTTGACAGAATAGTGTCCACCCACATTTGGCTGTTGTTGATGCGCACAAAACGGACGCCAGTGACTGTCTCTGGATGTCATATGTGTAACTATGGGTGTATGTTAAAGAACCCCAGGTGGTCGAAAATTCCGAAGCCCTACACTGCTGTGTCTCTCGTAAACAAATGGTTGTTTTGGGTCGTTAAACCCTATCAATTATTATTATTCTTTCTTTTCCAGAGTGCGGAATAACCACCCATGAGATGATTGTCAATGGAAGTTATGCTAAACCTGGCCAATTCCCATGGATGGTATGACATATTTTGAACAAATGTTGTAGCTCTCGCACAAAGCATTAACTCTAGCGTTCTGATTGTGTTCTACACTTCCATGGGTGAAGTCCACCAATGTGGATCAGTGGCTATGGTATCAGGCTGCTTACCTGAAGCTCACTGCTACGATCTCGGCCACGACAGTCGCACATAAAGGGAGCTTATATGCTCAGCCCCTTGTATTGTTCGGTGTGAGTGCACGCTACAAAACATCAGATCATCAAAACTTCCTGAGTCCTCCACTGCGGCATCTCTTAACATTTACACCATCTCTTAGCATTTTGCGCGCATGTAATTGCGACGGCCGCAAACGGTATCGCAACCGAGACTTCCTTGCCTGCAGCCCAAAACCCGAAACACTGAAATTGAACACTGTAAAACCACGGCCAACTTGGTTCTAACTGTAAAGTACATAACATCATCTCGGTAGCATTTCACCGCAATAGGAAATTCGAAGAAAGGTTCAATCTTTCTAATTCAAGGAAAACCTCTTTTACAAGGCAGTCAGGAGGGGTGCATGAAATTATAGAAAGCCACCCTCTGCTAACCGCGTCTATTCTCTGCCTTCTCGCGAGGAGAAGGGAAGTCGTGGTTCCACGATAGAAAAGACTATTACATCTGCAATGCACAAAGCAGCACGGCCCAGCGCTATCGGGAGAGTAAGTGAAGAGAGGGATGAAATAACACGTTCGACAAATTAAAGCACAAGACAGCGTGATGCTCCAGGAATATGACAAAGTGCAGTTCTCATCGGGGGCCGATGGTCCAATCACTTGAACACGCCTGCAGTTCCGACCATATACTTTCATATTATTGTGCCCTAGTGAAATCTAACGCTAGCGTAGGGGAAAACAATATTGAAAAGCGCTTCGGCCCGCATGCAAATGATGGCTATTATGCGTATTAGTCTAAGTTTCAATCTTTCAGGTCAATAAGGCCTGGAGTCTTCTCGTCACCAGGTGAACATTAGATAATTTAGTAAGCGCCCCGCCGCGGTGGTCTAGTGGCTAAAATACTCGCCTGCTGACCTGCAGGTCGCAAGATAAAATCCCGACTACGACGACTGCAGTTTAGATGGATGCGGAAAACGATGTAGTCCCGTGTGCTGAGATTCGGGTGCACGTTAAATAACATCAGGTAATCAAATTTCTGCAGCCATTTAATGCCTAGTCTCTCATAATAATACGGTGGGTTTGGGAAGTTAAGCCCCACAAATCAATCATCAAATTCAGCAAGTGTTAAGCGGTTGCACTTCATCATCCTTACCCTTTTAGGCACATAGTATTCACAAGCCACTTTTAATAACATGAAAGTGTGTTATTCAGGGATCCACCAATGCTTCAGTGATGCATTTTTGTCACTGATATGACCTTATTGAAATGAATGCTAAGGAATCAGAAAGGAAAAAATCCGCGATCCCGTGTACCTTGGGAATCGACGTTCTGCGGAGCATTCCAAAGAAAGGTGAGCGTGTTGTAATTTTTTTGTGTGAGATACGTTATGAAATAAGGCCAAATATGTGTACAAATATTTTCCTCACAAATATATGTTGACCAGTTGTAGATGTTCATGTACCTAGTTTTTTGCCACTGCGAAACGATGCCAACCGGGACATGAGTATTAGCAACACCAGAAGCGACAAACTGATTTAAATATTTAGGGCTCACGACGAAGGTAGCTCTGCACACTGCTACATAAATCAACATCACAGCATGACACCTAACTACAATCGACGATAACCCAACGTCAAGGCAGTATCATACTTATGTAATTCTAAATACAAAACAGTGTTAAATACTAAATACAAGACAGTCACACATACCCGCCCACGGGTATGTGGCACTGTCTGGCGAGAAGTGTTTGACGACGTAGGCTACGGCATTGTGACATCATTCATGTCTTAACCAGCGCGTCATATTAATTAAACCATCTTGCCCTCCCGTACAAATTTAGGTTCGCGCGAAGTCAAGGGGGTGACCACGAGCACCCAAATGTAAGCCGCTAAATGGGTAGATAGAGAGATGGATAGATCGATACGTGAATAGACTCTAATAGTGCTTGCTGTACGCAAATAAATGCTTCACGTATAAACATTTCACGTATATATACAAGTGCCCGCGCACTACCACCTCAAGTCCGAGGCAAATCCACCACACACCACAAACTCTTCTTGTACGTCTCATACATGCTCTGGCATGGTGAACTGGCTAACTTCTCTGTCCTTCCTCCTTCCTCTTCCTCCTCGGGCATAGTGCTCCCTGTTTGAGAGTGAAGGTGGGGTAGTGTGCTACCGCCCTCTGTGAGTGGTGCAGGAAAGTAATGTGGCATGGAACTTATTAGCGCTGAAAGAATACGATTTGATGACGACGCACTTAAAACATGGACTCTCGGATTTGTGATCTTGCCGCCCATAGTTAATATATATCGATACTGGCGAAAAACACTTATGTTCTTTGCCTTTCACTTCGGACAAGCGTGTGCTGTCGCGGCTCCATGTGAAAAAAGCACAGCTTCCACATTCATCAACCGCGTTCCTCCACCATGTATGGCTTGAGTGCTATAGCACTGACTAATAAAACTCCAGCAATAAGCACTGTAGGAAAGCAACTGTGTCCAGGGTTTAATGTCATGCCTCTGCGGCGACTGCATTTCCGATCGAGGTGGAAATGTTGTAGGCCCGTGTGCTCAGATTTGGGTGCACGGTAAAGAACCCCAGGTGGTCGAAATTTCCGGAGCCTTCCACTATGGCGTTTCTCACAATCATATGGTGGTTTTGGGACGGTAAACCCCACATATCAATGAATCAATGAATGTCATGCCTGGGTGGAGTGAGACAGAGGTGGGGGCGTTCATGACTCCAGCAACGAACCTGCCTTTTGTGTTGCTGAATCGCAGTGTGGTAGTGAGGTATTGAACGCATGAGCACAATATCCTTCCATAATATATTACTCCTATACTAAAGAGCGCACACCGCACCGTTTCTCTCCTAATTGGCGACGCTTTGAAGTGCTTATCTAGTACTAGACTAACGCTTGCTTATGCTATCTTCTACGGCATTCAGGATGCTCTGTGTTCCCGTAAGTGTTAGCAACTTCAGCAACCACAATGGCTAGATAATGGTTATGGGCGTTAGTCATCGCGATGAACATGTGCCACTAGGCGTCAGCTTGGGTGCATCGACGTCGAACCGTGCTATAGCTGCGAAAGAGCAATATACACTGTAGTCGCACTAGCTCTCACGTATCCCTACAAAAATATTTGATTGATATGTGGGGTTTAACGTCTCAAAAGCACCATATGATTATGAGAGACACCGTAGAGGAGAGCTCCGTAAATTTCGACCACCAGGGATTCTTTAATGTGCCTCAAAATTCGAGCACATGGGCATAGTGTGTTTTCGTCTCCATGAAAAATGCACCGCCGCAGCCGGGATTCAATCCTACGACCTTCGGATCAGCAGCCGAGTACCATAGAGACTGGACCACCGTGGCGGGGCATTGCTACAAAATAATCACTACTTACAAAACACAACAACAAAAAATACAGCCATTATATTGTCATAAACAAAAGCAATGCCCCCAAAACACAGGCAAGATACAAATGCGCTAGAACCTGCAAGCACGAATTCTGGGTAAATCCACGAGATAGGCATGGTGCGCATGGTGCTTGAACAAATAAAGCTACACAGTGGTTGCTTAAATTGTACAAATATAGCGCAATGTAGAAAACGTTATAGTTTCGACGGATCACATGACACTGCCGCAATGAGCCTTTCCTGATACCTATCTCTCACTCTCTACCTAAATTTACAGTCTAAATGGTCAAATTGCGCATACGGCAATGAATGATTATCAGATGCCACCAACGGTGGTGAAGTTGCAAACTTTGATTCTCACGTTGCGCTATTACCTGGTTTGACCATCTAGGTCATGTATCGTCGAGAGACAGAGAAATTGCGAATGAATCACCGTAAAAATTTTTATACATTCCAGCTCACGTAAAACGGTCTGCAAAATAAGTCGGGACATGTGAACGACGACCGCTATCTGATAAAGTTTCATCCCCGCGCCATCTGACGTGGTGAGCACGTATGCGCGTCCTTTCATTTTGACAACCATTTCGTTTTACTCGCTCGCAGCGGACTAGGAGATTACAAGTAGCATTTCGCACTAGGCGTCGCTTGCTTCGATCCGTGACTAGAGTGACTCAGTGCGCGCTCCGCTGCTTCTCAGATGCTCACCACTAGGCCGCTGAAAATGTACGCAACAACTTTGCCAACAAGAAAATATGTGCCGCAGATAGTCTGTGTGGTGGGAATATGCCACATAAATTGGGTAAATTTCACTACACACAGCTTCCCCTAAATGAGGAACGGCTGAATAAATGGCGTGCATGTTCCCACAGTCACACCATCATCAAGTGATACTCTTCAGAAGAGGTGGTGGCTGATACTACCACATCAAAGCCTAACAAAGAGTGTTTAATAAATAGCAGTAATACAACACATCTGACAGACTTCTGAAATCGGAGGACGCTTCAGCTCCACCTTCAAGAGTAGGTGTTCAATGATATAGCTTTGAAACACCCAGTGTTACACACGCAGTTCTTCGTTTTCTCACGGTATGGTTGAGGCATGCACCGAGAAGCGAAGGAAGGCTGTTCGGAAGCCTATGCGCACGAAGTCCGTTCACGCTATCGCGATCTACTCTTGAAGGCGTAGTTCGAGCGTCCTCCTATTTTCCAAGTGGATGCGAACGAGTGCATCGAGGCACTCTAATCTTGACGCGCTCACAGATAGGAACTTTACTCACGACAGGATCACAGCGAAGGTTAAATGTACGCGGCTCACTTCACAGACCACGCAGAGCAGCGTTTAACGCACTAGTGCTGACAGCTCCTATCCCAGAAACTCCGGTGTCGGTGTCAACACAAGCATCGTCGGTAGAGCGCAAAAAAACCGGCGTTGTCCGCGAGCGAGAACACAGGGTAGATGTAAATAAATAAATGACTACCAACTAATATCACTCCTCGTTGGGATCAAATCAACGCGTTTTATGTGGCAAAAAAGGAGTTCGGTGTTACTCGAACAAGCGTTCTTTTCTTCAAGGCATGAGTAAAGGAGAAACAAAATGATGTTTGCGGCACCAGTTGGCCACTGAGACAAGCGATGCTATTTTTTTTTATTCAGGCCGTAGCGAGCCGTACACCCTTCACCACTACCATGCCCTTGTTGAATGTAGCGCGTCATAGATCGAAGAAAGCAACGCCTGGCGCACAACGCTACATGTAATCACTTGGTCCGCTGCAAGAAAGTAAAAAGATATGAATGTGATATTCATAGGACGCTTATGCACAGTCATCTCGTCAGATGGTGCGGCGATGCAGTTTTATCAGATCGCGGTCGTCCCTTGCACGTTCTGACTTATTTTGCAGAAGGGTGTACATATTTTACACCATGCAAACGTGGCAATAACCATGAAATCAAGTCAACCCGTTTTTTTTTGCTATTTTATAGCACCTAGATCTACTGAAGGACCTCTCAAACATTTAAGTGTTTGGGCTGTTTACGACGTGTGCTCACTGTCTCTATTTATACTAAAAAAGCCTTCAAACCACGCCTTTCTTTTCTCGTTGTACATTACAATAAAGTTTATTGACAGATGGTCAGTTTTCCTACTTCTCCCTACTCTCCTTTTCCCTCATTAGCTCATTTCAAGCCATGTGACACGCTTTCACAAAGACAAACCACATGAAAACGAAATATATCACCCTTCTTTGTTATATGTGTTGCATTGTCTTCTCGGTACCGCAGGCGTCGCAAAGAGCCTTCTCGTGCGTGCCTATTGGAAATGGATAGGCCTTCGTGAAATGCTCTCATAGTCATAAGTACCAGAGCAGAGGGGCCTCTCTTTAGCGGAGTTCACTTGGTATTTGATATCGCCGCAACGCATTTAGGAGGTGTTGCCGATAGTTTTGGCAGCCTGAAGCATTTTATGTTGAGTGAATATGTCTTGCGATTCTTTGAAGCATGGCCGCAGCATCAGACCTTGAACGATACTCGCCACGTTGTACGGAGACGATCACTTTCATGCACTCTCATTCATCTTACGACAGAACGATCACACTAGAAGTTATTATGCAATGTCATCTTGAAAAATCAACGAGAATTCAAGCAAACGAGGCATGCTAAAACTCTCAAGGACGACAAATGTGCATAAATGTCAGTGGTCTGTGACTCCAGACACTGCCTGAAACAGGCACTCATCTGCGCTGTGACGTCATGTGTGTGCGTGTGTGCTCCCCCAATCTTCCTTTGATTACTCTTCTTTCAATCCCCCCGATCCTTTGCCTCCGCGTATGGTTAGGATACCAGTTGCGCCAAAGCAGTCAGCATCCCTGTCTTTCCTCTCACTCGTTTTGCCTTATACCATCATTGTTCTTTTATTTATTCAAACTCTAGTTTCCATTCACAACTGACACTCTCGGCTGGATTTCGCAGCCGGCATCGGTGGAGGCGTCATTATCATGCTCCGTATATGTATATGTATCTATAGATATGAAAACGCAAGAAAGAAAAAAATCAGATAAAATATCTCCGGCATGCGGAATCGAATGTGCGATTTCCACATTGTGAACGCGAGGTGTTACCACTGAGCCACTGTGGGGTACTTCCTTGGACGTTGAAACGGCAAGCTATTTATATCTACCACTTACCGCTGTTGGGAAGCGTCTCAGGGGGGAACTATCGTGTTTCCAACATCATCAGCAAGATTGCCCAGTGAGCACACGGCGGCTCTCATCTCTCAAGCGTACTTTGGCCCGCGTAGAGAATAAGGAGGTGTACACTCAATCGCGTGCTTTTATCTAGCAGTGGGGAGGTTCGTACGTCCCGTACGTGTTTTGTAGCAGCTAGCGGGCGCACAAAGGTGACTGCAATCATTGAACATCCCCCGTTTGCGAAAAGGGCGTGGTTTTCAGACAGGGTGAAGTAACACCCGAGACGCTTATTCGCATCCATTTGTACCTGTGAGTACGTTTGATGCATCAGTTGTGCGTGAGAGAAGCGGGCACGTTTCGCTCTGTTTGCCGTTCTGCGCATGACCTTCAATTTGTTGCTATTGCAGTCATTGATTTGCCTTTGTGGTAAAACTGTGACTTTTTACTATAAAGACTACTGCAATCAACTGCTGCAAGCGACTGTTTGTTATAGGTGCGTCAAGTCGGTGTACATCGCTGAACAATTCGTTCCATGTGCAGGGCTCGTTCCACACAAAAATTTCATGCTAATTGAGGCCGAGGTTTTCTGGTGTTCCTAGCCAGCAACTGTTAATTTGTCAAAGTCCGGAACCAAATGCAATCTCTTTTCACAAGACGTCACTGCTTCATTTTCACATTTGCCCTCATAGCAAAACATATTTTTGTCCGGACTCAGCCAGCCAAGATAGGGGCGTGCACTGCGAAGAAACTTTGCCCCCCTTCCTTCCACCTTCCCTCATGTACAACCCTGCGCACGTCCATTTGCATTTATATATAGACATGCAAAGTGAGAACAACTGAGTGAGGTGAGGCCCCACCTAACCCCCCCCCCCCCCTTACGAGTGACCCGTCATCTCACACACAAATATAATGGTGGTTCGTCGTGCTCTTTTTCGCTTTTCAGGTGTTCCTCGTAGTGCACAACAGGAAGGGCCAGAGCTTCCAATGTGGAGGAACCATCCTAACCCAGCGCCACATTCTCACCGCGGCGCATTGCATCTATCCGTGAGTAAGCTTAATCTCAACTGCATTGGAAGCAAAGCAACGACCATGTGGCTACAAAGGGCATACGGCGATATGTCTGGGCAAGAAGAAGCTATTGTGAACCCCTTATGCTACCGCTGATTCCATATTCAAAACATTTTACAACACCGTGATTGCGACCAGCTTGCAAATGAAAACCAACAAAAGAGAGCTATACGTTAATGACGTAACCAGATACTTAATCAGGTTATCATATACGTACCTGTATTTCTTAGCGAACTTCGGCGACCTTGATTGTATCCATATATATATATATATAGTGTCACGCGCTTAGAGCTGGAACGAACGTACAAAGGGACGCGACTGTCCAAAATCTCAGAGACAAAGAAGGACGTCTCCGCTGGCACGGGTTGCTCGTCTTCGTCTTCCTCGTTCACCGGCACAGAACTGACCCACTGTTCACTGGCACAGAACACCAGGTGGCATTACTCCTCTTCCCAAGAGAGCATCGGCCCGATGCTCAAACAAAAGTGTGCACAGCAGTGGGTCGAAGTAGGTAACATAAAAAAACATTAAACAAATTAATGCACGAGAGAAAATGCGTCCTGGGCCCGGCAATCGGAAATAAACGGCATTTACTGTTCACATGAAGAGTTCACTGGCACAAGAAGAAAATTCGCATCACCACGTAAAGTATGGTTTTAGGCGGACTACGTGTACAGTCTCTGGGCGTGATAACCTGCGCTGGGATGATGGCGAGCCTCCGTCTGGAACCACTTCGTAGTTCACGTCGCTCACACGTCTGAGTACTTTGTAAGGTCCAAAGTACTTCCTCAAGAGTTTCTCACTGAGACCTCGCCGCCTAATGGGTGTCCAAACCCAAACTTGGTCACCAGGTTCATAATTAACTTCTCGATGGTGGGTGTTGTACCGCCGTGCATCTGCGCACTGTTGAGTTCAGATGTGCACACGGGCCAGTTGACGTGCTTCCTCAGCGCGCTGAATGTACTCATTGATGTCGGGGGCTAATTGGTCGAGCTTGTCGATGTCCTCATATGGAATCATGGCGTCCAGCATAGTTCTAACATCTCGACCATAAACGAGCCGGAATGGTGTGAAGCGTGTAGTTTCCTGCGTTGTAGTGTTATACGCAAATGTTACATACGGCAGGATGTCGTCCCACGTTTTGTGCTGCACATCCACGTACATAGAGATCATGTCAGCTAGCGTTTTGTTTAGCCTTTCTGTTAAACCATCACTCTGAGGGTGATACGCAGTGGTCTTTCGATGGGTTGTGTAACTCAACCTGAAGATATCAAGATATCATCCAAGAGTTTCGCTCTGAATGATGTCCCTCGATCAGTGATGACATGTGACGGGGCGCCATGTGGTAGCACAATTTGATGCATAAAAAAACTGGCAACTTCAGATGCGGTCCCTCGTGGCAACACCTTCGTCTCAGCGTAACGCGTCAAACAATCGGTTGTGACAATAATCCATTTGTTGCCAGAAGAAGACAAAGGAAACGGGCGTAGGAGGTCCATCCCCACTTGTTCAAACGGTGTACGTGGTGGATCGATCGGTTGTAGATGGCCTGCAGGCTTTAAATGTGGTGTCTTGCGACGCTGGCATTCACGGCATCCCTTCACGTAGCATTTGACACAGGCAGACATTTTAGGCCAGCAGTACAGTTGTCGCACCCGATCCATAGTTTTCGAGTAGCCCAGATGGCCAGATGTGGGCTCGTCTTGGCAAGCTAATAAGATGTCATCGCGGAGGGCTTCAGGCACGACGAAAAGACGAGATCTGTCACCAGCACCGGCGTTCCTTTTGTATCAGACCCCATTTCGTAGGCAAAATGATGGCAACGTTCGCAACATCGGAGGAGGAATGGGCGCAGTGCCACCTTCTAAATGATATATAATGGTGGATCTCTAATGGATCTGTAATGGTGGAGGTGCTGGGTACCCAGCACCTCCACCAGTTGTCACGTGCTAAGAGCTCGAACGAAAGTACAAAGGGTCGCGACTGTCCAAAATCTCGGAGACAAAGAAGGACGTCTCCGCTGGCACGGGTTGCTCGTCTTCGTCTTCCTCGTTCACCGGCACAGAACTGATCCACTGTTTACTGGCACAGAACACCAGGTGGCAATATATATATATATATATATATATATATATATATATGTGTGTGTGTGTGTGTGTGTGTGTGTGTGTGTGTGAGATATAACAAAGAGTAATGCCAAGGAATGTACAGGGGAAGCTATTAGAACCAATGGAATGTAAATAAGAAGAAAGAAAAGTGCATGAAAAAATAACCAACCGTGAGCATGAATCGAACCTACGACCTTCGAATAATGCGTTTGATGCTCTGAACACCCCTGAACACGAAAAAACAAGGCCTTAGAAATACACTTCTTTCCCTTATATATATATATATATATATATATATATATATATATATATATAAGAGAAACAAGTGTTTACTTAAGGGCTCGTTTTTCTGTGTTCTACACAATAATAATCATATCTAACAGACAATAATGCCAAGAAAAGTATAGGAGAAGATATTAAACCAAATTGTAGTGTAAGCATGAAGAAAGAAAAGTAGGTGAAAAGATAACTTGCCGTGGGCAGGATCCGAGCCTGCGACATTCGAATGACGCGTTCTATGCTCTACCACTGAGCTACCACAACAGCTATCCCCCCAGCCACTTTGTTGGTTTATGTGAATTCAACGTGGGAGTGTCAGTCAGTGCAACCAGTCACCATGGCGGCGAGTGTGACACACTCTTTTGAGCCTGTTTGGCGTCACGTATCACGTGAACTAATTACGAGTGGGCGGCTGACCAATAGTCCCTCGTATAGAACCTGAAGGCACTAAGTCTGCCAGTACGAGACCCTCATTAATGAAGCAAGGAAAGAAGTAATAACTTAAGGGCGCGTTTTTCTGTGTTCTATACAATATTAATGATATCTGTGTTCTACACAATAATAATGATATCTAACAGACAATAATGCCAAGGAAAGTATAGAGGAAGATATTAGACCAAATTGTAATGTAAATATGAAGAAAGAAAAGTGGGTGAAAAGATAACTTGCCATGGGCAGGATCCGACTACCAGACTACCGCCCTATATATATATATATATATATATATATATCTATATACAAAATTGGCTTGAGCGGAAAACATGCGAAAACTTTATTAATCCTATGTTTCTGCCGGGGTCCGGCCTTCATCATTGAATATATATATATATATATATATATATCTGTCTGCCATCTATGTGGCCCTTTACGAGTTTTCGATAATGCTATCAATACAAATGTTGGTATGCCTTAACATGACTGTATGACGAGCATAAGTGACTAGTCATAACATGAAAATCATGACATGTCGGCATATTTGTCATTATTTACATTTCATGGTTTTGCTGCTCTTGTGGTAGTTTTGTTCACATGACGTGTTGAAAACTGATGTGGTATGATATGACTGCATGGAGAACACAAGCGACAGACCCTAGCATGAAAATCATGACATGCGTGTCATCTAACAACTTGACTAAATGCCACCCTTATGATGCGCTCGCGGCGGTTTCATTAGCTTCACATATACCAAGTTTGGTAATAGGACGTTAATAAATGAGGAAGGTATGTGACTGGTGCTAACATGATAATCATTAAATGCGTGTCATGTGACAACATGACTACATGCTACGCTTATGATGCGCTCACGGCCCTTTCGCTAGCTTCACAAGTGCCAAATTTGGTATTACGCTACGCGAACCGACCACATAGGTAAATGATACGTCTAAGAATCATAATCATGACATGCGTGTCATGTAACATGACTACATGCCACACTCATGATGCGCTCATGGCCATTTCTCTAACTTCACATGCACCAAACTAAGTGTTACGTGACACGAACGGACGACATAGGTAAATGACACATCCAAACGTGATAATCACGACAGGCGTGTCATGTAACAACATGACTACATGCAACAATTATTATGCGCTCGTGGCTGTTTCACTAGCTTCACATATGCCAAATTTGGTATTACGTGACGTCAATGAATGATGAAGCTATGTGACTGGTGCAAACATGATAATCATGAGATTCGTGTCATGTGAGAGCATGACTATATGCCACAGTGAAGGCGTCAATACATTTCGACGTGTCGTGGTGCACTTCCTCGCCTGCGTTCATCACGTCACGTCACGCCAGGCGCTGGTCCTGTCATATACTCGTTGGCACGCGCCAGGTTGCGTTGCTTTGACACACTGCGCATTTCAGCGCGTCTGGTGTCCTTTCGTCACGAAAAGAGGAGAGACGCAGTATTGTCTGGGTGAGATTTGTTGCACGTAATGGTGTGTACCTACTACATAACACGTTTTCTTTCATTCTAAAGTCTAACAGGTAAAAAAAAGCGTTGATCAAGTTTTAGGTTTTATCGGTAATAATATAAGCTTTTTATCTGCACGTTCAAGTCACCTACAGTCTTTTTTCCTGAGAACCTATTTCGGCTGAAATATGTTACCACATTACATAACGCTCAGTTTCCCTTTGTCGTTTCTGGCACACTTTTTCAAGTGACTGAATTGGTCAACGTTCTATTCGATTAGCACACACAGACAATTTATTCCAGCCTTCAACAAAAAAAAGGAAATTATTTCTTTTCGCTTGTCTTGCAGTAACGGCTTAGTAGCTGTGGGAGCTGAGGCCTACTATGGAAACATCCACAAAAGACATGGCAAAAGGCTCCGGGTGACCAAGGTGATCCCCCATGCTAAGTACAATGAGAAATCCTTCTCACACGACATCGCCGTATTTGTGGTACGTCACAGTTTAGTCCTAAGCATGCCAAGTGTGTTTTACCCTAAGCTTTTGCTGGAAGAACGCACATCGCACAGTTTGTTGTCTCATTTTGTGCTCTCATGTCTACGCACTCAGAGCGCATTCAGCAAAGTACTTATTGCGTGAATAGTACTAATAGTATACAGACCAGTAGGCTACATGCGCAGAGCTTCGTTAATCAGCATAGGGCAACTCCAGACAAAATAAAATAGCATGCTTGTTATCAACGAGCAAATTCTGTCATATTTTATTATGTATTTGGTATTATTGATCGTGCAGAGCAATTGAATTGTCCCTGCGCACACGCAAAGGTGCAACAGGTGTCATGATGTCACGGCCAGATCATAAGGCTACACGGTGGCCGCTAGGATTGCAGTTTATAGGCTTGAATTGTCGCAAAAACTTTTCTAATACACACAATACGTAGCCTACACGTTCGTCGTCCAGCCGGAAGTTATAAATCACAGTTCATGGAAGTACTCTGCGCAGAACACACGGGTCTGTGTCTCTCTTTTCTTCATCCCCGTGTGGCGTGTGTTTCGTGCAAAGTGCTTCTATGAATTGCTTCCAACTAGCTCGTCCAGCAGTTTTTCCTCATAAATAACACATTGCAGAACACCGTGGATGTGTTAGCACTCCGGGCTTTCGAGAAACAGCATGATGTATTATACAGCAACGTGGTGGGGGGAACGAGGCCTGCCATTGGAGATAAAGGCGCTTCAGTCGTTGCGATGTGAAGGTTCGGATTACATGATCTCACGTTAGTCTGGCGAATAGAAGTGGATGGTAGAACAGCCAGCTTGTAACCGTGATTTCGTGATGTTTTCTTTTTGAACACTGGCACTTTGCTCTGAGGTAATTTCTATGAATATCTAGAGACCACGAAACGTGACAAAACGCTGCGTAAATTATCAGTAGCATGATTCCGCTAGGTGGAGTAGGACGGTAAGGACGTGATCACATCGCACTCCGCTATTTGAAACGCTTTCAAGCGGAAAGTTCATTCAAGCCTACTTAAAGAGCTCTTCATCTTTTTCGTGAAGTTGCAAGGAATTGACGGACACCAGAATCTGAGACCTTAACCGGCTTCACAGGAAAGTAACAACATTAGAAGACATGACGTGCACGAACGCCACTCGCCGCAATAGCGGCTTCAGTCGGCAGCACCGGGATGTTAAAACGTACGGGGTGCGGCGTGTTGGGATCTACTGGCTCACAACAAGACTTGACTTTCTCCGACATTTTCTAAACCAGTCAAAAACCAATTGTGAGTGCCACTTTACCTCCTTTTTGGACTATATGTCTTGTGCAGAAAAAAATGGTGGTTGGCTCATTCTCCTGTTTTACTGAGCATGCCTGCATAAGGACGCCTAGCAATTCTTCGTCTACATAAACCTCGACGAAGACCTTCCAGGCGCATTTCGGGTGCCGTAAAATAAACCGAATGACGCGAGTAGCTTCTCGTCAAATGTGGATCCAAGTAACGATGAGCGAGCGTCCAGCGGTGCTACTCTCAATAACAAAAACGACGACGACGCCTGTCTGGCTCTTACTTAGATGGGAGACAATAGAGTTTTCTAAAACTAACTAGAGAGGATTTGGGTGCTGTGATCGCTCAGCGACCATGAGAATGATGGTTAGTACACAAATTTATCTAGTGTTTGTACTTGTGGGTGGAGAATCGCACCTGTGGCTTCGTTTGTTGATAATTTTCGTTGTTTAGAAGGAAAAGTCGAACCTTTCTGCGCACTTCGTGACCCAATTTGAAATGGTAAGCCTAAAGGAATAAGGTGGTGAAGCGGAACCGCTCAACATTTGATAATTTGTGTTTCGTGAGAAAACAGCTTCAAGCCACGTGAACTCACATGGAGCCAGAAGTTTGAAGATTAGACAAATCCGTGTACTAGCCATCATTTTCATGCTCGCTGAAGTGCTGTTCATTGCAGCTTCCACAGACACTAGTGCCAGAGTTCCTTCTAATGTATATTTTAGAAAATCTATGTGGGGAATGGCTGGCATACCGTCCTTTCATGCAGAAGAAAAGAGAACCGTAAATAAAGCCAGAAAAAGCCAGAAAAGGGACTGGAGAAGAAAAATGGAAGCCACTGGGCAACCCGCCCGTAGGCACAGCAGGACACAGTCAAGCCACGCGGAATTTCCAGCGCAAAAAATGCCGAGGCCTGACGCCCCTTCCAAATGAAGGCATAAAAGTTATGCTGAAATCACACAAGAGCCACACAGCGAAATGTCTACTTGGATCAAAGCTCTCTTTGGCAGGGACAGAGGCCTGCCGGAACAGTTTTAAAGGAGAAAGTTTTTTGCCTGCGGGTCCACCTTGGATTGAACATGAATCTGAAGTGGATTCAGAGGACAGATTCACCACTTCAATGCGTACATGGCGGACCCTGAGGACGTCCTGCGAGGCATCGTTCACGGACTACCGCCCTGAACCACTCAGGCTGACCTGATGGCAAAGTCATGAATACGAACACAAGAGGTGAAATTGTAGAGGACCTAGGATGCTGGGTTGTTCGAAGTCAGCAATATTGACTATTACAGGGGATGTGCTCCCAGGTGCATCTGTAGTTACAGAGGTGATCTGTTACCCAGACAAGCCTACCGTACAGGTTTGCAAGATTTTTTGATCATCTCGACACCGAACCGATGTGTGCCCGACGCCGAACGCCAACGTGTGCTTCATGTGTCGGACGTCGGATCCTACTCAAGGGCACAAATGTTCTCTAAACTGCGCCATATGCACTGACAAGCATGCTACAGGAGACAAATCATGCGAAAAGACAATAAGAATGTGGCTTCCTGAATATCACGAGTGGAGGCACCTCGAAGACACAGTGGATCTACGCGGAGAAGGAATTCCTGCAACTTGATCAACACTAACAGAAACCTCCTCGCTGGTTAAGCTCGGACCGAGAGGAAGCGGCGCTCCAGAAGCGGCAAACATCTAGATTCAGCTCCAGATCACGATCACGATCAATATCCAGATAAACATCGCAGACCCTACAACAAAGAAACAACAGCAAGCCTGCGGAGGCAACTGGCAAACAAAACTTGAAGAAAACACTGAGTAGCAGCTGGAAAACACGCTCCGCTCATGCCATCAAAGAAGAAGCAGCAGCAACTGCTAGCCTTAATATGGAAAACGTACCGAACAACCAACCAAACAACGTGAGCTGGGCGAATCCAGTGCCTCCCTATGTTCCGGTAACTCATAACCATCATTATAGAAAAATTTTAGAAGGGAATGAAAGATGAACGCAACAAATTAAGCAGCTTAAAAATCAAATGGCTGTGGAGCGTAAAGAGCAAAAACTGGCCATCTCGTAATTTTGAAAAAAAAAAGAAATTGCAAGTAAAAATTAGAAAACCCAGGGTTGGTAGGCAACCCTAATCAGGGCCATAAAGAGGTGTGAGAGCGTATAGCTGGCATGGGAAAAAGCGCATAAATTAGCGAGGAAACGATAGGCAAGGACTCGTTCACAACTCTATGAGAAAGTAGCGAACTAGCAAAGCAAGTGCATACGCAGGTTTAAGCAAACAGGGAGAGCATAATTACTTTGCACAAACTTCTAACTGATTTCATGGCGGAAACGAAAACGTTTGTCGGAGAACTGAAACTTCAGAGGCAGTAGGTTAATGATGCTGTGGAAGGCTTGCAGAGGGCACTAAACAAATGCCTCCTCTCCACACCAATTAGTGACAAACCGTACAAAGCGGGCCGCGACAAGGTGGACATGACCATGCAGCGTAGGAAAAAAAATATTGAGAAAAGTTCAGAACATTTAGAGATTTCGCAGTGCAAGTGTCACTCTTTTCACAAGCGCGCTGCAGCGTTCCAAAATTATATGAACTCAGTACCAATTCAGCCAGACAGAATATGCCTGCAGGAGGTTGGACCCAAGATGGTCAAACTGCAGAGATCTTACTGTTTACAAGATTCAAATCATCCCCGCGTAGCCTCACTGGTTAGAAAAAGTATTGCAGCAAAGGTGGAACACGTTGAAAGTTTGCGAATAAATTACCAGATAATCACCCTCCTGCTTCTGAACGGAGGCAAAGTGAAACTTTAAGAGGGGGTCAATTGATGCGTGTGAGCTGGTGGACAAAAAGAATGATAAGGTGATTTGGCGGAAACCAGGTTGCGGAGCTCTCACTGGTCGAGAACAAAGAAGGTGATCTTGCTGTTCGGCTGCTGAGAACCGTTGTGTCAAAGTCTATCAGCCTTTGTTAGCGTTGCATCATGACATTGAATATTTATATACATGTATATATATATATATATATATATATATATATATATATATATATATATCATTTGTTCTTCTATGTATTCACTTATTGCAGTGTTTCGGGAGTACGTGCATGCTTCGGCATGTTTTGTTACGGGTTTGAACATCTAAAGCTTCAAGGCTTGAGGACGTTTGTGCGTGTACGTATTTCCCCACGTTCCCCATACCACTCCGGAAATGACGTTCAAGCAATCTGTCGAGTACTGGAATAGGCAAATCACACTGTTGAAAACAGAGCTACCTGAGAGGCTTTGTCATGGGTACAAGGTATCCGCCGCACACACTAATTATATGAGAAGGGTCGGGAGGACGCTGTGTTTTTTCTCAGTTGAAACTATAATCTCGTTATGTGAAGCGCAGGGTCGTCGTGACGCAGGTTCTCGGCGGTAATGGCCGGCCGCTGATCCCCGATGTAGTGCATAATTTTTGTTTGAAGCCTTCGGGACCAGAAAGCTGGACAAGTACTTGATCATTTCAATTTCACTTTTGGATCCATTGTGAAGCTTCTTTTCTTTTGAATTCAACCATCGAAAAAAAAAATGGTGGGGGACCTTGGATGGTGGTGGTGCGGCCGTGGACTCTGGTTCACTCTGAAAATACTAAGCTCTAGGATCCACAGCGCTAAGAATGCAACAGCAAAAACAAGTGCACCTTGAAAAGAGTCAGCAAGCTTTAGAGTGTTGCAGAACTGAGTGTGAAAGATCTACTTAAGTGTCTCTTCATGAAAGCGTCTTAGTTCAGTTTATGTGTTCTTTCTTCTAATTTATCGTGGTTCCTTTTTCTACAGGTGGAAAAGCCATTTCAGTTCGGAACCAACGCAAGGCCGATATGCATCCCAACAGCACCAGTGAACATCGCAGGCACCGACAACATAGTCGCTGGATGGGGATTCATCAGAGAAGGTGATGTCTGTTTCATATATAATGTATATAAACACTCTTCTTTATTTCCATACCCTTGACATTTTCTATGCATCACTTATGATACCGGGACATAAAATCAGCAATATATTTTTTTATTTGGGGAAAATACAGTGAAGGCTAATTACTCTGCTTTTGATTAGCTAAAGGAAGCCTTGGGCTTGAATATTATTTGTAAACATAGCCCTTGCTTAATTGTACCTCAAGTGTTACTGAAGGGTAGTTTTTGTGATTTCTGTGGCTCCAAACCAAGCTGAATATACTGTACAGACCTTTTAATTCCATAATAAAGTTTGCTTCGATCGTGCAGAATTAAAATTTAAAACTGCTAAAAAGCACACACAACTGTACATATGAGAAAAATAGTCAGCCTATATTGCAATGAAATCTGAGACACAACCTCAATGTCGGAAAAACACTGCTAATTTCTATGAATTTCAAATGCTCATCAGCCTTATGTTGGTAGTGGTCCTGCAGCGTTGTTCTAGTGGGTAAAGTACTCGTCTGCTGACCTCAGGTCATGGCATTGAATCCTGGCTGGGGCGGCAGAATTTTTGAACGAGGCGAAAATGCTGTAGGCTCGTATGCTCAGATTTGGGTGCATGTTAAAGAGCTCCAGGTGATCGAAATTTCTGGAGCCCTCCACTATGACATCGCTCATAATCTAAAGTTGGTTTTAGGGCGTAAAATTCAACTTATCAGTCAATCAATGAACTTTGTTTGTGGTGGTGTTGTTGTGTACACTTCGTTACTCGGTATGGTGAACTTGAGCTGCAGACATTTTCAAAGCTTCCTTTGTTATTGTTCAAGATATGGTGCGACACATTCTAGAGATAAGGTGGCCGATAACCTTTAGATGGTCGCTTCTCTTCGATTAGTGCATATATTGATGACTTTAACAATGCGACAGGTTTTAAGAGAGAACCTCCTCAGGCCCGCACCCCGCCGTCACCGTCGAAGCTGCCTGCTACATTAATGCGGTACCTGCGCAAAAATAAATGAAACGATCCATGAATTTGAAACCCATGATAAGCGCACCAAGCAAAACAACAGGTGCGTGATACCAGGGTGTGCCCTCGTTTCACGTATCTGCTCTCTCCCCTCAAACCGACGAACGTGCGAAACCATCGCTTCACCCTGCCGTCTGCCCGGTGGTTGATTCGTTGAATAGGTGTGCTCAAGTCGCACTGCACTCGCCGCACACACAGTCGCCCAGTTGTTCCCGCCACCGGGGACAGCAGACGCTGTCTCCACCCGCTCACCACCTTACAGCCTTCTTGAAAACCAGCAGCGAGAGCAGGCGCATGGCCGTTTGCGTCCCAATTCTAAGGAGCTTCACTCATCTGTTGTAGTCGTACACATAACTGTTAGCTTTTGTACTGTTTTCAAGCTAGGATTTTATGAGATCAGAATTTTGATGGCAGCGTTGTCGTATGGGAAAATCGGGCACGAATTTTACGGATGTTACAAAAGACGCTCTCCCAGGTGCATCATTATCGAATATTCAATGCCCTCAATACCAAGGGCTTGTGGACAATCAATCATTTCTGTTATGGCAATCTGAATTCTAGCGATGTCACTTGTGCTTTCGCGTTGCCACGTTTCAGTGCTGTCTGGACATGAACGTGATATTCTCGTGGTATCGAAGAAACATGAGCTAGGCTCCATGCGAACTGTGCAGGTGCGCCCTCATGCAATGCTCGCAAGTGCATCCTTCATTTGGGTATAGCGTACCAGGACAAGGACACAAAAGGGACACACATCCACACATAGCGCAGTGTGTGTGTGTCTTTTGTGTGCTTCTCGTGGTGCGCTATACCCATATAGAGGATGAAGCCCAACCAACTCGCTCGGCAACGTGCTTTAACCCGCAAGTGACTCGAGCCATTTTGCTTACGTCGCTCACGAAAAATTCGAGAAAGAAACAATAGTGGTTAATGCTGTACACTTTATTGAGGCCTCACCGCTAAAGCAATCGCATTGCAGCAGACTCGCAGGCTTCTACTCTCGAAGGAGAATGTATTGATTCACTCGTGAAATGTTACATTGTGGCACATTATCCACAAGGTCTCAAAACTCTAGAATGCAAGGGAATTTTCTGCAGTAAATAAAAAAGAATAGAAGTAAACTGAAAATCACTTTCTAACTGAAAAATTACGTTTCAAAGAAGTAATAAAACTAGACAACAAACGAGCTAAAACGATATATTGATGTATACTGATGTACTCGTTGTAAACAAAGAAAATCAACCAGGTTAGTAGAAACGCCGACTGAAGTAAACAATTCCAAATACAAACCTGTTTGGTAGAAAAATTCACAGCATTTCATGGAGTGAATGAGAATAAGTGGGGCTAAGCGTCCGTCCGTGTATGTGTCTTCCCACCAATGCATGCATCCATGCATCCGATAGCATTCGAAAATGCAGACAGCACGTGAGTAACACCGACGGGACGCGAGCCAAGGAAGCCGAGCTGCAAGCGTCTTCAACGCGCCCGCCGCTCTCTTTCGTCCATGCCCCACAAACGATCCGCCATGTACGGTGGCTGTTCAGGAGACTGAGAGAGGCACTCGTTCTCCGCGGACCCAGGCACAGCCCGCGCAGCAGCCAATAGGAGAGAAGCGGTACAACGTCATCTACAATATTCTCACTCAGCTGCATTTTATATGTACTTTCATGATACAGCGCCGTATTTTATACTGTTTGGGAGACACTGCCTTTTTTTACAGCGAAAACTGTTATGAGATAAAAGCTCGGGTCACGCGCGCAGTATATCTCCGCCACCGCTGCTGCCACCACCGTCGCCGCTGTCCATAACCATATCACACAAATGTTGAAAAAAAAAAAACCTAGAACCAATGACACAGTGCGGCTTGAACCCGGGTCTGCTGGGTGCCAGCGCAGTGCCTATACCACCGAGCCAAGCCAGTGCTTGGGACTTGCTCGGTAAACTTTCGTTGGCAGGCTTGATGTCGGCAGAGTAATCGCGTAAATACGAGTTATAAAGCGTTTTAAACAACGAGAAAGTTAACCAGTCGTTGCACAATGCGAATAGTGCAACGTGTGGGTCGTCCAATACTTCAACCCATTACAAAAAGCTTGTTCCTCTTCACATATTTCTCTGTTGCATACTCACTTCTGAAATGATTCTTCATTGTCGTCAGTTACTGCATGAAAAAATGGCACGAAATTCCGTGCAAGGGTTTGGCGGATACCACACTTCTCAGAAGATTGACAAAAAAAAAAAAGCATAGCGAATGCTGGCCTCCTACCCAAAACATTTTATTATTAACGCTGCAGTGGTTATAAAGCAAGTGTGCTTGCAGCGGTTACATTATGAGTGTTTAGAAAAGTTCTATAAGGCCACTTTTCTAGCTTTCTCTGTGACTGTGCTGTGCCTTCCATGTCGCCCTGGCGCTTTTTTTTTTTTTCTCGTCTCTTCTTCTCTCCGTTACGCGTGACGCATGAGAGGAGCTTTGCCCCTAAAACAGTGGAACTGAAAAATGGAAAACTCTTACACTGGATCATCCCTACCTGTGTAATAATAGCAGGGACTCAAAAACGTTTTAAAAAAGACAATAAATTGGGATGTCTGCGAGTTTAGACGCATATACTTGAGGGAACTGATAGATATATTTCTTTATTTATTATTTGTTTATCACTTACAGGTGACACGCAGTTCGAGCAGGGAGAGCAATATAATAATAGAACAGTGAAAGTGTAGAAAATAAAAAGAACAAGCAAGCGAAACAAGAACAGTATTACAGAAATAGGGTAAAAAATGTGTTTCGAGAAACTATATACAATATTACAGAAATACAGTGAAAAATATGTTTGGCGGAGCTATATACAAGCTAAAATAATATTCAGCACTATAGAGTCGATTCGATTACACAATTCCGTTTGGTTATGACACGAGAGAAAAAAGAATTTGCAAATGTTTCGTTCTCGAGAAATACGGTGTCAATACATCTTGCCTACAGTGACGAGTGGTTCGGGTTAATGAAAGCGATAGATATAGAGATGAATCTAGCATTGAACTTTTGGTTTGAAGTAGTTTAAGAAACTTCAGTCTCTGCTTCTGTCTTCTCATCTCGAGTGGCTTAATGTAGATAGCTTTCATAAGTTCTGTGGGGGAATCCTGTCTTGAGAATTTGTTATATATAAATGGAACTGCCTTTCGCTACACTTTTTCGAGGTTATTAATCTTAGTTTTAGTATGCGGATGCCAAACAATACATGGATATTTTAGTTTAGTTCTATTAAGGTATATTAGCGTAACAGTTTTACATAAATGGTGCTTTTTAAGTTTGTGACTCGGAAGGGATGATTTAGAAGGCTGAGGTGTTAGTATTACTTATGAGGTGATGTCATGTTAACGTGTTGTTAAAGGTGGCTTCTAGACACTTGTGTTGGGTTAAATCATGCAGAAAAGATGAACCTAATTCATACGTATGAAGCAAAGGTCATTTTTTGTGTGTCATTCGCTATATTAAGCTTTTGCCTGTGTTTAGTGTGATTCCCCAGTGCTTGCACCATTCAAGAATTTTATTCGAACTACTATGTAAACTAATTTGGTCACTGACAGAAATATTGTCTTTAAAAAGCATGCAATCGGCAGATATTCAAATCTCGACAACACTTCAACAATGTTAAGAATGTCGTTATTATATATATTAAAAAGGAGAAAGCCGAGGACACTACCCTGCGCAAAACCTAATGTGACGGGAAGTGAGTCTCTTCCACGACTTACAACACAATAAAGCAGATAGAACAGCATAAATTTCCACAGCTTCATTAAAAGTAGTGTGAAAGCCAGAAAAATTGCCTTTATAAACATCTTTTACTGCTTAATCAAGGTCAACTACCCAAGCAGTCAATTTTTTTCGGGCCGTACACATCCCTATTATAAACGCCATTCCCCGACACTTGTCGTTTGCCGCAGGGGTGGGGAAGCATCGATTGCACTGTTGCCGCAGAACTAAGTGAAGGGAAATTTCTCTTAAA